ACCTTCCCTTTAAGTTCATCAATCAGGCATGAGTATTTCTTTTTGAGTAGATTTTCGAGACTACTGGTAAATCAGATATATGGATTGGTTTCATCCTATTTTATATAGCTTATTTACTGGTAGTCTTAAAAGCCTACTCAACACAAAAAATAATTAATGTCATCGATTGCTATAGCAAATATAAGTTTGTGTCATCGACAATCCCACCACAGATTGGGATATTAGAAAATTTCCGACCTTCATTGAAATTCACATCTGCCCTGCGACACAATGTCACTTGTGGCAATGTGCCTTAGTGATTAACATCCACCTACAGGTAGCTCACGTCGATTTGAATAATGAAATTGGAGTTAGCCTTACGACATATATCGCCGAGCGGTGACCTCTCACACCGGCCCGATTTCTAATATTGTCGGGGCTGAAATGCCTGGCTGAATTCGCCTGACCAAACTCTACTAGCACTACTTAAATAGTAATAAGCGACTTGAAGGGGATCTAGGCCTTTGCGACTGTCTGTCCCTGCGATTCACCTGCATCGTTGTCCAGTGGGGCCAATTCACTAAGTGTTAAATGGAAGGTGTCACCGCTAGTTTGGGTCGTAGTCTCTTGTCCCTCTGGACTAAATGGGAATGGGCAAGTTAGAAAATTGTAATAGTGAAAGAGGAGGGAGATATGAGGATATAGGATACATGCATGCGTCAATGAAGCAGCGGATAAAAATGTACCAACTCCACCATTCAACATTGTTACTTATCCTGAATATCAAAGGGGGTTCATCTAGGTCACTATGACAACACAATAAAGTTGCAAAATCAAGATAAATCGCTTCTTCACGAAGTGCTTGTCTGAGGCCGACTTTTACTTAAGCAAAGAAGAGGAAATTTTTCTTTGTACTCGGACTACCCCGGTCCGTCATGATCGATTCGTTTCGTCTCCATCATAAGAACCGTCCTTACTGCATGCTGCACCATGTTTGTCCTCTGGAGACTTCTTCTTCTGCCGAAAGTTTGGCAAAGGGTGTATGACGCAAAGTGGCAATCGGCCGTGTCGCCGAGGGCCCCTGAGGACGGAAGGAAGAGGAGAAAGGGGCCGCGAACAAGTGCTTTCACCTGCGTTGGTGCTACCGACTTCATAATCTCTACTCCGAGCGAGAAGTCATTCAATTGGATATGAAGAGATCGATACTAGTGATAGCGACAGGTTAACACGAATAACGACTAGAACCATGCACACAAACACACACACACAGGCACAAGTACACTTTAGGATTCGGGGCTAGGCTAGGTCGATGTGATTGGGGAGGACTGTGTGGGGTGTGGGTCGACATCTACTTGGTTGTGATGGCCTGCGCTAGTCTTAGTGGTGCGTCTCCGGTTGTAGCAGTGTGCACACATACAGAATGCCAGATAGTCAACCGCAAGGAGGGGTATCATGCAGACTAGGCACCAAGGAGACGAGTTATAGGTCATCCTTATTGATTACGGTTGGGTGTAGAAAATTAGAGGACGGACGAGGCGAAGACTGTGCGGCGGAACTCGCATGTATTCATCGAGAAGTGAGGAGGATGATAATGAGCCTTTCCTACGAGAAATGGACGTTGAAGACAGGTAAGTTGAGTTGAGTTGAGTTGAGTTGAGTTGAGTTGAGTTGAGTTGAGTTGAGTTGAGTTGAGTTGAGTTGGGTTGAGTTGAGTTGAGTTGAGTTGAGTTGAGTTGAGTTGAGTTGAGTTGAGTTGAGTTGAGTTGAGTTGAGCTGAGCTGAGCTGAGGAGTACAAGGTGTGAAAGCTCTGCTTCGGTAAAAGGGCTGTACCAAGAAGAACCAACGCTTACCCACGAGATCACAAAGGGTCTGGCTTTCGGCCAAGCAATGCTCTCGAATCCCCATCGTACACACAAACACACTCCATTTTTTTCCAAGCATAGATACAATAACTCACGTATAAGCTCAGGATTTCATTAAAAATATCACTACAGTCACTATCCGCGACTTCGTAATCGCGATCTCAATCAAAAGCAAACGCAGCCATTTCAGGTCCTTCATCTTCATCTACACCCTCGTGTTCTTCCCCGTGCTCCTCTTCGTAATCGTCTACGTGATCGTGTTCATTCTCGTCTTAATCTCAGTCTTCGCCCTTGACTAAATCTTCGTATTCGTTCTAGTCTTCGTTCTCGTATTTGAATTCATCTTCTTCCTCATCTTCCTCGTCGTCTTTTTTCTTCTCTTCGTCCTCGCATTCGTGTTTGTATTCGTATTGGTCCTCGACTTCGTCCTTTTAATCGTTCTCTCTTCTTTCCCTTATTCAAACTCATCTTCGTCCTCATCTTTGTCCTCATCTTCCTACTCCTCTTCTTCCTATTCCTCCTCCTCCTCTACCTCCTTGTTTTCTTACTGTCTTTTTTTTCTTCCTCGTCTCATTTTGCGCGTGCTTTCTCGCCCCTTCTCCCAAGCTCACTTTTAACTCAATCACTGCCACCGTACTCGTCTGTCTCTTTTTCCTTCTGCTCGGTCTTATTCTTACTTACCGCGACAATGATTTTCACTGCCCTTTTACTTACCCCTGCTGAACTTTTGTCTTTCATGTGACCGACATTGTCCTGTGAGTACGCATCGTCTTGGAATTATTGGTCCTAATTTACTAATCCTTGTTGAGATCGACCAGCCGTAATCATACTCACCCAACTTGGCTCACTGATATTCTTCTCTTTCACCCGATGACAAGACGACATATCCCATTCTCAAAAGTACTTCCAGCTTATACCATACTAGGGGTATTGCAGCAGAAATATATATTAAACTTATTTGATACATCACAGCTTGGATGAAGTTGGGTTGCTTGACGCTGATATTAATACTTCTTCATACAAACTTCCCTCCCTAACTCTAAGGCGATCCTCATTTGGTCCTCGATGCGACTATTTCCGACTCCCAATTCGAAATGGAAAATTGAAAAGCAGCTTCTTTTCTGTTATACACGATGCTAGTATCTAATACAAGTAGGAGCAACAATAATGGCTCCGAGTGATGCTTACTATTAGCTGGATCCTACGGACTTGGCGGCTTAGCATGCCGATGAGAAGTCAATGTTGGTGTTAGCCACATGCGATGGGTGGAAAAGAGAGAATAGAATCCTGTAAACATGGAGTCCCGGAGTAGTGGTCATGGTCGACAGTCGTTTGTTCTAGTTGAATAAGTACTTAGAATTAGACCTTGATGATAGTATCGAAAGCTACTCACATTTAATTACTCTGCTGGGCTGATGCCAATCACTAACTGGGGGGAGAATTTTTTAATGATCAAATCAGTAGTGAATGGCAGCCACTATTCCATGGACGCAGACATAACTGCATCGTTTTCGTGCTTACTTCCATTTCGAGTGAAAGTGTTTGGTGAAGAGATTCGAAGGTCGATTCAACCGGAAGACGACGGCAGATTCCTCTTGACCAGCTGTCGATTGGCTTTACTGGAAGATTCATGCTGACGCTGTTTCCGAGGTAATATCCTACGATTCCGGTGGAAAGGTGTTAAGCTTTCGTCCGTCATATGACGAACAACATCAGAACAAGGTATCATCTTTACAACCTAATTCAAGCTAGCGAGTCAATAAAACTCGAAAGCTTATCACCTTTTCACCGGAATCGAAGGAGATTGCCTCGGCAACAGCA